CAGCATGTTGTAGGTCAGCAGGACGCTCTTCAGTGGTCGTCGTGCAAATGTAAACTATATTCAAAGATCTTATTACAACATTGGTAAGATAACCTTTACTAATAAGTTTGTTTAAAGATTCGATGAGTTTACATAGTGATTTCCGCGCTTTTAGTACAATATAACCGTAAAATTTAGTATGTGAAATACCGTGTGAAATATCTATGAAAGAATTTAGTAAAAGTTTTAAGCAATTCATGGTAACGAAATCCCTAACTTAATAATTTACCAGTTATGCATGGATTACGTTGGTTAAAATCTATGACATCACTACACACGGGCATTACGAACGAGTTGAGATACATAAAACCGTATGAGGAGCCAAAGGAACATAGCCGTCTAAAAAAGGAAATTTAACAATTATGAATGAAAAATCGTCTCTTTTGTCGTAAATTTTAGTATGGAGTTTTTCTTTAGAAATTGAAATGTCTAAATCTAGAAAAGGACAACTACTGCTGTATATGTTAGATTTATTTAAAGTAAGTTCCGTTGGATAAATGTCGGTAGTATATTTAGAGAACTCTGGATTATTTAACGGAAAAATATCATCAAGATAACGGTAGGTATTGTTGAATGTATCAACCAAATATAACAATGACGTGTCTTTGTAAGTTTGGTCATAAACTGAGATTCATACCAATACAGGAATAAATCTGCTATGAAAGGGAGCGCAGTTATTACTCATAGGAATACCTACTACCTGTCGATAAATTGTATCACCGAAACGTACATATATGTTGTCCAGGAGAAATTTGAAGCTTCAATCATATCTTCACATTTCCAGTAAGTGTATCTAGCATACTTTCCTTTTTCGTTACAGAGAAAGGCTTTAAACGAGTTACAACAAATACATTTGCAATGAGATTTTTCAAAAGACCATTTAATTTAATATGAAAACTTTTTCTTGATAAGATTGTTTGAAAGCATAGTGTAGAGATTTGAAAAATCATAACTGTCAACAGAATAAAAGGGACAAAAAAAAGCACGTACTTTATCTAAAACCTCTAATGAACTTTTAACACTCCAAAAATTATTAATACCATTATTGTCATAGCTTTATTACAAAAGTTAATAACAAGTTCTTTGATAGTAGTAATGGAGGTAGTTAACAGCACTGACGGATTAGTAGTAGAACACTGACAAGATGCGGAGATGAAATGGAATTTAAATGGTTGTTTGTGTAATTTAGGTAACCAGTACATAGTCGGGACTTTCAAGAGACCAAATGACTTAGAAATTAACAACTCTGCACAGGAGACTAAATGACACAGAAATTAAAAACTATAGAACCGTTCGGCATTCAACAATGAGTAAATCCCATGCCGCATAGTCAACTATAAAAGGCCCCGAAATGACAAATATAAAACAATTCAAACGAGACAACTAACGGTCTTATGTATGTACAAATTAATGAACGAAAAACAAATGTGATACACAGTTACAAACAACAACCACTGAATTAAAAGTTCCTAACTTGGGACAGGCACATACAGAATGTGGCAGGGTAAAACATAATAGCGGGCGCCCAACCCTAACCTTAACTTGGGACAGTGGTGTAACAGTACAACATAAGAAGAAACTATAAAAATCAGTTGAAAAAGGCGCAACTCATAAGATGGATACAAATAGACATACATCTAACAAAAACACAGAGTGGACGTGGCAGTGTACTTATACATCCCCACAACAAAACGACTTTAAGTACAGATCTGAGAGTATTAGCAGTTACTGACAGCTAGTTCAAAGCAAATAACAACTAATAAAACAAATCATGCATCTAAGACTTAAATATCAATCATTATGTATCCTTTCAGCTTAGAGATTTTTGTTTTACAAATAATTTTAATTTAATTTAGGGTCTTGGCTATGTACACTTTAAAAAATATCAGAATACTTTAAAGTAAATAACACATGTACCTATTTACACAAACTGCTTGGTGTACTACAATACACACCTAAATTGGAAGATCCGGGCATAACATTACACGGGGTTTCCCCCAAACATTGCGATAAAAATAACTTATGTTTTAAATTTGAATTCCATGTACACAACATATTTACACTAAAAACATGATTTAATACATTTTGTGCAGCATAATTACACAATGCTTTAGTTTCTTCAGTTACATTAAACAAGCTTAAAATTACTAAGATTGTAAATCGTCAGCTACTTACCTTTAAAAGACTATCAATTGAATTTTGACTCTGCACCATCGTATTGAAACCACCAAGACGTCAAAGTGTATAATTCATGTACATACATTCGTATTTCCACTTAATGAACTTACATGTGTAGTTACGTAACTGATATGCACACGTGATACATGTTTTGGTATTTACATCATTATCTTACTTTCTATCTCCCGAGATCAAAAGAAAGATATGCAAGCAAAAATCAATCAATCAATTCGAACTGAAACCGAACGATCATTCCTGTCACGAACAAGGACGACGATAATTCAAATACATTAACCTTACTGTGTTGCTTCTGCGTTACCTGTACTGATCAAACACACCATAATGATTTAAAATCTATGACACATGAATCTATTTTAATTGATTCCAATTCAAAATCCTGTTTTAATATTAGACACATGTTAGATAGCGGTATATGAATAAATAGAATACCAGTATAAGAAAAAATACATGAAGTATCCAATGGAGGAAGAGGAGGATACAATTGAGGTACTACGCAGTTTTGTTATTCATTAACTGACTATAATAATTGAAAACACTGGTTAATCCCCCAGCATGTTGTAGGTCAGCAGGACGCTCTTCAGTGGTCGTCGTGCAAATGTAAACTATATTCAAAGATCTTATTACAACATTGGTAAGATAACCTTTACTAATAAGTTTGTTTAAAGGTTCGATGAGTTTACATAGTGATTTCCGCGCTTTTAGTACAATATAACCGTAAAATTTAGTATGTGAAATACCGTGTGAAATATCTATGAAAGAATTTAGTAAAAGTTTTAAGCAATTCATGGTAACGAAATCCCTAACTTAATAATTTACCAGTTATGCATGGATTACGTTGGTAAAAATCTATGACATCACTACACACGGGCATTACGAACGAGTTGGGATACATAAAACCGTATGAGGAGCCAAAGGAACATAGCCGTCTAAAAAAGGAAATTCAACTATTATGAATGAAAAATCGTCTCTTTTGTCGTAAATTTTAGTATGGAGTTTTTCTTTAGAAATTGAAATGTCTAAATCTAGAAAAGGACAACTACTGCTGTATATGTTAGATTTATTTAAAGTAAGTTCCGTTGGATAAATGTTGGTAGTATATTTAGAGAACTCTGGATTATTAAACGGAAAAATATCATCAAGATAACGGTAGGTATTGTTGAATGTATCAACCAAATATAACAATGACGTGTCTTTGTAAGTTTGGTCATAAACTGAGATTCATACCAATACAGGAATAAATCTGCTATGAAAGGGAGCGCAGTTATTACTCATAGGAATACCTACTACCTGTCGATAAATTGTATCACCGAAACGTACATATATGTTGTCCAGGAGAAATTTGAAGCTTCAATCATATCTTCACATTTCCAGTAAGTGTATCTAGCATACTTTCCTTTTTCGTTACAGAGAAAGGCTTTAAACGAGTTACAACGAATACATTTGCAATGAGATTTTTCAAAAGACCATTTAATTTAATATGAAAACTTTTTCTTGATAAGATTGTTTGAAAGCATAGTGTAGAGATTTGAAAAATCATAACTGTCAACAGAATAAAAGGGACAAAAAAAAGCACGTACTTTATCTAAAACCTCTAATGAACTTGTAACACTCCAAAAATTATTAATACCATTATTGTCATAGCTTTATTACAAAAGTTAATAACAAGTTCTTTGATAGTAGTAATGGAGGTAGTTAACAGCACTGACGGATTAGTAGTAGAACACTGACAAGATGCGGAGATGAAATGGAATTTAAATGGTTGTTTGTGTAATTTAGGTAACCAGTACATAGTCGGGACTTTCAAGAGACCAAATGACTTAGAAATTAACAACTCTGCACAGGAGACTAAATGACACAGAAATTAAAAACTATAGAACCGTTCGGCATTCAACAATGAGTAAATCCCATGCCGCATAGTCAACTATAAAAGGCCCCGAAATGACAAATATAAAACAATTCAAACGAGACAACTAACGGTCTTATGTATGTACAAATTAATGAACGAAAAACAAATGTGATACACAGTTACAAACAACAACCACTGAATTAAAAGTTCCTAACTTGGGACAGGCACATACAGAATGTGGCAGGGTAAAACATAATAGCGGGCGCCCAACCCTAACCCTAACTTGGGACAGTGGTGTAACAGTACAACATAAGAAGAAACTATAAAAATCAGTTGAAAAAGGCGCAACTCATAAGATGGATACAAATAGACATACATCTAACAAAAACACAGAGTGGACGTGGCAGTGTACTTATACATCCCCACAACAAAAAGACTTTAAGTACAGATCTGAGAGTATTAGCAGTTACTGACAGCTAGTTCAAAGCAAATAACAACTAATAAAACAAATCATGCATCTAAGACTTAAATATCAATCATTATGTATCCTTTCAGCTTAGAGATTTTTGTTTTACAAATATTTTTAATTTAATTTAGGGTCTTGGCTATGTACACTTTAAAAAATATCAGAATACTTTAAAGTAAATAACACATGTACCTATTTACACAAACTGCTTGGTGTACTACAATACACACCTAAATTGGAAGATCCGGGCAGAACATTACACGGGGTTTCCCCCAAACATTGCGATAAAAATAACTTATGTTTTAAATTTGAATTCCATGTACACAACATATTTACACTAAAAACATGATTTAATACATTTTGTGCAGCATAATTACACAATGCTTTAGTTTCTTCAGTTACATTAAACAAGCTTAAAATTACTAAGATTGTAAATCGTCAGCTACTTACCTTTAAAAGACTATCAATTGAATTTTGACTCTGCACCTTCGTATTGAAACCACCAAGACGTCAAAGTCTATAATTCATGTACATACATTCGTATTTCCACCTAATGAACTTACATGTGTAGTTACGTAACTGATATGCACACGTGATACATGTTTTGGTATTTACATCATTATCTTACTTTCTATCTCCCGAGATCAAAAGAAAGATATGCAAGCAAAAATCAATCAATCAATTCGAACTGAAACCGAACGATCATTCCTGTCACGAACAAGGACGACGATAATTCAAATACATTAACCTTACTGTGTTGCTTCTGCGTTACCTGTACTGATCAAACACACCATAATGATTTAAAATCTATGACACATGAATCTATTTTAATTGATTCCAATTCAAAATCCTGTTTTAATATTAGACACATGTTAGATAGCGGTATATGATTAAATAGAATACCAGTATAAGAAAAAATACATGAAGTATCCAATGGAGGAAGAGGAGGATACAATTGAGGTACTACGCAGTTTTGTAATTCATTAACTGACTATAATAATTGAAAACACTGGTTAATCCCCCAGCATGTTGTAGGTCAGCAGGACGCTCTTCAGTGGTCGTCGTGCAAATGTAAACTATATTCAAAGATCTTATTACAACATTGGTAAGATAACCTTTACTAATAAGTTTGTTTAAAGGTTCGATGAGTTTACATAGTGATTTCCGCGCTTTTAGTACAATATAACCGTAAAATTTAGTATGTGAAATACCGTGTGAAATATCTATGAAAGAATTTAGTAAAAGTTTTAAGCAATTCATGGTAACGAAATCCCTAACTTAATAATTTACCAGTTATACATGGATTACGTTGGTTAAAATCTATGACATCACTACACACGGGCATTACGAACGAGTTGGGATACATAAAACCGTATGAGGAGCCAAAGGAACATAGCCGTCTAAAAAAGGAAATTTAACAATTATGAATGAAAAATCGTCTCTTTTGTCGTACATTTTAGTATGGAGTTTTTCTTTAGAAATTGAAATGTCTAAATCTAGAAAAGGACAACTACTGCTGTATATGTTAGATTTATTTAAAGTAAGTTCCGTTGGATAAATGTCGGTAGTATATTTAGAGAACTCTGGATTATTTAACGGAAAAATATCATCAAGATAACGGTAGGTATTGTTGAATGTATCAACCAAATATAACAATGACGTGTCTTTGTAAGTTTGGTCATAAACTGAGATTCATACCAATACAGGAATAAATCTGCTATGAAAGGGAGCGCAGTTATTACTCATAGGAATACCTACTACCTGTCGATAAATTGTATCACCGAAACGTACATATATGTTGTCCAGGAGAAATTTGAAGCTTCAATCATATCTTCACATTTCCAGTAAGTGTATCTAGCATACTTTCCTTTTTCGTTACAGAGAAAGGCTTTAAACGAGTTACAACAAATACATTTGCAATGAGATTTTTCAAAAGACCATTTAATTTAATATGAAAACTTTTTCTTGATAAGATTGTTTGAAAGCATAGTGTAGAGATTTGAAAAATCATAACTGTCAACAGAATAAAAGGGACAAAAAAAAAGCACGTACTTTATCTAAAACCTCTAATGAACTTCTAACACTCCAAAAATTATTAATACCATTATTGTCATAGCTTTATTACAAAAGTTAATAACAAGTTCTTTGATAGTAGTAATGGAGGTAGTTAACAGCACTGACGGATTAGTAGTAGAACACTGACAAGATGCGGAGATGAAATGGAATTTAAATGGTTGTTTGTGTAATTTAGGTAACCAGTACATAGTCGGGACTTTCAAGAGACCAAATGACTTAGAAATTAACAACTCTGCACAGGAGACTAAATGACACAGAAATTAAAAACTATAGAACCGTTCGGCATTCAACAATGAGTAAATCCCATGCCGCATAGTCAACTATAAAAGGCCCCGAAATGACAAATATAAAACAATTCAAACGAGACAACTAACGGTCTTATGTATGTACAAATTAATGAACGAAAAACAAATGTGATACACAGTTACAAACAACAACCACTGAATTAAAAGTTCCTAACTTGGGACAGGCACATACAGAATGTGGCAGGGTAAAACATAATAGCGGGCGCCCAACCCTAACCCTAACTTGGGACAGTGGTGTAACAGTACAACATAAGAAGAAACTATAAAAATCAGTTGAAAAAGGCGCAACTCATAAGATGGATACAAATAGACATACATCTAACAAAAACACAGAGTGGACGTGGCAGTGTACTTATACATCCCCACAACAAAAAGACTTTAAGTACAGATCTGAGAGTATTAGCAGTTACTGACAGCTAGTTCAAAGCAAATAACAACTAATAAAACAAATCATGCATCTAAGACTTAAATATCAATCATTATGTATCCTTTCAGCTTAGAGATTTTTGTTTTACAAATATTTTTAATTTAATTTAGGGTCTTGGCTATGTACACTTTAAAAAATATCAGAATACTTTAAAGTAAATAACACATGTACCTATTTACACAAACTGCTTGGTGTACTACAATACACACCTAAATTGGAAGATCCGGGCAGAACATTACACGGGGTTTCCCCCAAACATTGCGATAAAAATAACTTATGTTTTAAATTTGAATTCCATGTACACAACATATTTACACTAAAAACATGATTTAATACATTTTGTGCAGCATAATTACACAATGCTTTAGTTTCTTCAGTTACATTAAACAAGCTTAAAATTACTAAGATTGTAAATCGTCAGCTACTTACCTTTAAAAGACTATCAATTGAATTTTGACTCTGCACCTTCGTATTGAAACCACCAAGACGTCAAAGTGTATAATTCATGTACATACATTCGTATTTCCACCTAATGAACTTACATGTGTAGTTACGTAACTGATATGCACACGTGATACATGTTTTGGTATTTACATCATTATCTTACTTTCTATCTCCCGAGATCAAAAGAAAGATATGCAAGCAAAAATCAATCAATCAATTCGAACTGAAACCGAACGATCATTTCTGTCACGAACAAGGACGACGATAATTCAAATACATTAACCTTACTGTGTTGCTTCTGCGTTACCTGTACTGATCAAACACACCATAATGATTTAAAATCTATGATACATGAATCTATTTTAATTGATTCCAATTCAAAATCCTGTTGTAATATTAGACACATGTTAGATAGCGGTATATGATTAAATAGAATACCAGTATAAGAAAAAATACATGAAGTATCCAATGGAGGAAGAGGAGGATACAATTGAGGTACTACGCAGTTTTGTTATTCATTAACTGACTATAATAGTTGAAAACACTGGTTAATCCCCCAGCATGTTGTAGGTCAGCAGGACGCTCTTCAGTGGTCGTCGTGCAAATGTAAACTATATTCAAAGATCTTATTACAACATTGGTAAGATAACATTTACTATTAAGTTTGTTTAAAGGTTCGATGAGTTTACATAGTGATTTCCGCGCTTTTATTACAATATAACCGTAAAATTTAGTATGTGAAATACCGTGTGAAATATCTATGAAAGAATTTAGTAAAAGTTTTAAGCAATTCATGGTAACGAAATCCCTAACTTAATAATTTACCAGTTATGCATGGATTACGTTGGTAAAAATCTATGACATCACTACACACGGGCATTACGAACGAGTTGGGATACATAAAACCGTATGAGGAGCCAAAGGAACATAGCCGTCTAAAAAAGGAAATTCAACAATTATGAAAGAAAAATCGTCTCTTTTGTCGTAAATTTTAGTATGGAGTTTTTCTTTAGAAATTGAAATGTCTAAATCTAGAAAAGGACAACTACTGCTGTATATGTTAGATTTATTTAAAGTAAGTTCCGTTGGATAAATGTTGGTAGTATATTTAGAGAACTCTGGATTATTTAACGGAAAAATATCATCAAGATAACGGTAGGTATTGTTGAATGTATCAACCAAATATAACAATGACGTGTCTTTGTAAGTTTGGTCATAAACTGAGATTCATACCAATACAGGAATAAATCTGCTATGAAAGGGAGCGCAGTTATTACTCATAGGAATACCTACTACCTGTCGATAAATTGTATCACCGAAACGTACATATATGTTGTCCAGGAGAAATTTGAAGCTTCAATCATATCTTCACATTTCCAGTAAGTGTATCTAGCATACTTTCCTTTTTCGTTACAGAGAAAGGCTTTAAACGAGTTACAACAAATACATTTGCAATGAGATTTTTCAAAAGACCATTTAATTGAAAACTTTTTCTTGATAAGATTGTTTGAAAGCATAGTGTAGAGATTTGAAAAATCATAACTGTCAACAGAATAAAAGGGACAAAAAAAAGCACGTACTTTATCTAAAACCTCTAATGAACTTTTAACACTCCAAAATTTATTAATACCATTATTGTCATAGCTTTATTACAAAAGTTAATAACAAGTTCTTTGATAGTAGTAATGGAGGTAGTTAACAGCACTGACGGATTAGTAGTAGAACACTGACAAGATGCGGAGATGAAATGGAATTTAAATGGTTGTTTGTGTAATTTAGGTAACCAGTACATAGTCGGGACTTTCAAGAGACCAAATGACTTAGAAATTAACAACTCTGCACAGGAGACTAAATGACACAGAAATTAAAAACTATAGAACCGTTCGGCATTCAACAATGAGTAAATCCCATGCCGCATAGTCAACTATAAAAGGCCCCGAAATGACAAATATAAAACAATTCAAACGAGACAACTAACGGTCTTATGTATGTACAAATTAATGAACGAAAAACAAATGTGATACACAGTTACAAACAACAACCACTGAATTAAAAGTTCCTAACTTGGGACTGGCACATACAGAATGTGGCAGGGTAAAACATAATAGCGGGCGCCCAACCCTAACCCTAACTTGGGACAGTGGTGTAACAGTACAACATAAGAAGAAACTATAAAAATCAGTTGAAAAAGGCGCAACTCATAAGATGGATACAAATAGACATACATCTAACAAAAACACAGAGTGGACGTGGCAGTGTACTTATACATCCCCACAACAAAAAGACTTTAAGTACAGATCTGAGAGTATTAGCAGTTACTGACAGCTAGTTCAAAGCAAATAACAACTAATAAAACAAATCATGCATCTAAGACTTAAATATCAATCATTATGTATCCTTTCAGCTTAGAGATTTTTGTTTTACAAATATTTTTAATTTAATTTAGGGTCTTGGCTATGTACACTTTAAAAAATATCAGAATACTTTAAAGTAAATAACACATGTACCTATTTACACAAACTGCTTGGT